TCACATCCCTTACCTTCAGGGCAGTTATATAATTTATTTAAACTAAATAAATTTGGTTCATTCCCCCTTCCCCCGATCAATATTTCTTCTTTGAGTACGTGAAACATTAACATAATCCAAGAAGTCAGAACTGCACAAAAGGTAAATGGTCTCCCCCAGCCTCCCAATTCTGTCTTCTCCACTTCGTTCCCTCCTGTACCCTATTATTTTTTTTCTGTACTTTTTTCCCACTGATGAGCAAATCTATATTTTCTTTTCTCGTCCACAAAAAATAGCAGACTCTAGGCATTTGTAGGCACTTTTGCTTTTCTTCCCTCAATAATGTACCCTGGAGATCGCTCTGTATCACTCTTTATTATAGACGCACGGTAGTTCCTTACTTGAATGTGCCGTCGTTACTCAACCATCACCTTGTGTAGAGGCATTTGGGTTATTCCCAGTATTTGCCAGTCGGACATAATGCAATAAATAACCTTGTATACACATACTTTTGTTGTTGTGGGGTTGAATCTGCATATGCATATGTAGTTCTTAGCTACTACCCAGTCCCTCTGTAGGGCTCCTTCCAACTTGCACTCCCACCAGCAAAGCGTTAAGAGCATCGATGTCCTGAGTCTGGCAACAGAACACACTGTTACTTTCTCGGGGTTTGAGGATCGGATGGTTCGCAGTGTTATTTTGCCTTTCCATTTCTCTTATCATAAATCAAGTTGAACATTTTTTTCATGTTTAAAAGCCACTTTGTAAAAAAAAAAAAAGTGTAAAAATCTTTGTAAGTTTTTATGAATTGTCTGTTCATGCCTTTTATCATTTTTTTTCTGTTGCGTTTGGTTTTTAATCCCCTCAAGTTTTGAGAATTCTTTTATTTTTTTTATTATTTTTTTTAATATTTTTATTTATTTCCAGGAGAGAGAGAGAGACAGCGTGAGCAGGGGAGGGTTAGAGAGAGGGGGAGACACAGACTCTGAAACAGGCTCCAGGCTCTGTGCTGGCAGTTAGCACAGAGCCCGACGCGGGGCTCGAACCCACGAACCGCGAGATCATGACCTAAGCGAAAGTCGGACGCTTAACCGACTAAGCCACCCAGGCGCCCCGAGAATTCTTTTATACAGGAGTATCACCAGCCCTTTCTGTTGTAAATATTTTGTCAGTTGTCGGGTGTCTTTTTAAAAATTTTTAGTTGAGGTACAGTTGACACGCAAGGTTATATTAGCATCAGGGGCACAGCCAGTCAGTTCTGTACCTTACCCAGTGTGCACCGTGTTGAGCGTGGATCCATCTGTCCCCCCACGTTGTCACCATATAATCGACTCTTCCCCGCGCCACACTCTTCATCTGCAGGACTTATTTATAACTGCAAGTTTCTATCCCTTCATCCCTTTCAGCCGATCCGCATGTCCCCCATCCCGACACCCCTCCCTTCTGGCACCCTCCCGCCCATTTGTTCTCTGTATTATCTGGTTTCTGTTTCTGTTCAGATGTCTTTATAATTTGCAACATTTCTAAGTAGCCGAATTGATCACTCTTCTCTTTAACAAATCAGAATTTTGAGACACAGAAGCCTTTTCCTTCGCCCAAATTACCCAGGAACTCACCCGTTTTGCCTCTAGCACTGGCACGGTTTCATTCTTTTACCTTAAGATCCCTGATCTACCTGGATTTTATTCTAATGGATTTATTTTTCCAAATGGCAAAGCCATTTTCCCAGAGCCATTTACTAAGAAGTCCACCTTGGGTCCCTTGGTGGCTGTCGATAAGTGCCTGACTTTAGCTCAGGTCACGATTTCACAGTTCGTGAGTTTGAGCCACACATCAGGTTCTGTCACTGCAGAGTCTGCTTTAGATCCTCTGTACCCCTCTCTCATAAATAAAGTATTTTTTAAAAGTCCACCTTTATATCGATGATCTGAGATGCCATCTTTACCATACAGTACATTTCTGTACATTTATTTCTCTACAGTATATTTACTCGGGTCTATTTCTCGTCTATTCTGCTGGTCTCCATGCTATTCATGCTCCACTGTTGCATGAATTAAAGACTTTAATAAGAGTCTTTAGATGGTTTTGTTTAATATTTTTAAAGTTTATTATGAGAGAGTGAGCATGTGCATGTGAACAGGAGAAGGGCATAGAGAGAGAGGGAGAGAGAATCCCAAGCAGGCTCCGAGCTGTGAGCCCAGGGCCCGATGTGGGGCCCAATCCCACCAACCATGAGATCATGAACTGAGACGAAATCAAGAGTCGGATGCTTAACCAACTGAGCCCCCCAGGTGCCCCTAGATTATGTTTGAATGTCTGGTAGGGCTAGTGACTCTCAGTTGTCAACTTATGAGTACATGTCATTTTAGATCTAGACTATGGATTTAGAATTATGTATTCCTGTTGCCTACTGGACTGATCCCCGTAGTGGAAAGAATAACGGTCCCCAAAGAGGGGCCTATCCTACTCCCTGGCACCTGTGAATACTTAGGTCACGTGAAAGGGAAATTGAGAGAGAGCCCTCTCCAACGCCCAAGCCCCCAGCTCGGAGGCCCCCTGGCACGGGCCCCTGCCCCGACCAGCAAACGTGCCCGAAGGCGGCTGCGAGTGGCCGTTGGTGGCTCCCTGCACCCCTCCGGCCTCACATCTTCAGCAGCTCTGAGGCCCTGGGGCAGATTTCTTCACACGCAGCCTCCTGTCCAGAGTTCTGAGCACAAGTGGCATCCGTGCCCGAGGACGCCAGTGCGGGGCAAGTCCTCCATCCTCGCTGCTGTCCCTACACCCTCCCCATTCACGTCATTTATTTCTTAAGGAAACTCACTTTTTTGTCCTGTTAAAACCCCTACATTCTATATCTGGCTGATTGCTTCTTGGTGGGGTGTTTAAGTTGTTCATCTAATACCCACATTTCATGGAAAGGGGTAACCGTGACTAGATTCCCGTTGGTTCAGGGAGGGGTCTGTTCCAACAGAACACTCCGTGGCTGGTGCCGTCACGGTGTCCCGGCAAGCTCACTGGCGCCCGTCGGCGATGTTCACAACAGCTGGCTTCAGGTTCCTTCCAGTTACATGTCGACCCAGGACACGGAGCGGGGACCTGGGAAGAGAGAAACGAGGGAGGGGGAGCTAGCAGCCGACGCCACCGCAGACTGGTCACGGTGGGGCCTCGCCGGGGTCTTTTTCGGGAGCCAGGCGGAGACGGTACCCTGGAGCCGTCGTCCCAAGACATGGAGGGCAGTGTACTCACTGGGTCCACTCGAGCCCATCTGCTGCAGGGCTGCTGCGGAGGCTCACTCCCCCCACCCAGGTCTGTGTGGGCCACGGCTGCAGCACTGGCCGGGTGGGGCACAGGGCGACGGGTGGGCACGCTCAGCGGCTGGAAAGCGAGGCGCCCGCACCTGCCGGTGGTCTCGGCAGTAGCCAGAGCACGGGGATGGGCCGAGGCGCACGCTGGCCTTGTTTGATGCTCCGTCTCATGTTCTCAGCCCTGTGGTCTCAGCAGCCACCGATGCATCTTTCCTAGGCCCTTTAGGAAAAGTACGGAAAGTATTGGTTTTCGAATTCTATCTTGTACTTCCTAGATGGAATCCTGCTGTAAAGAATTTTCCATCATCATGTGTTTGATTACTTTGCTGGTTCAATTTTGTTACTTTGGGTATCACTAGCACATCAATTCATTGTTCTGAAGATTGATAAATACGGAGAGAAGGAATCAATCACATATCCTGACTTTACTGTACAAGGATGAGGTCATCTTAGTACTAGAATTATGAACTTGGGATTAAAAATATAAACACAGATGCAAATTTTTCGGGCCCAACTTGTCTCACGTTCGACCGGTGGGAGCTGCTTCAAGCTGGCTTCTACTAACTTCTGAAAAAGCTCCAATAGACTCCGAAAACATACCTGAATCTGGGACATCCTGTCCTGGGGACCAGCCTGTACAGTTGTTGCCCCAGACTAGTAGCTACTTTGAAAATAAGTGCCGCTTCTACTTAGTTGAAAATGGAGTTCAGAGACCACAGTCCCGGCATTACTGGTGCTCGCTGGGCGGGGCTGTGGTCATACCAGGCCTTTTTAGTTGGACAGAACCAGGAAGTATTTTTTGTTTAGAAAGACAAATAATTTAAGATTTCTTGCTGAAATTTAAGATTACCAGGTTCTAACAAGATCACCTAATTTCTAAATGTTTTGACCTAAAATATACGTTTAACAATGGTGATGACATCAAGATGGTGTTTTGAAAGCTCTGAGACCAGACTCAGTAGTGAGGGCTGTGTGGCTGCAGTGTAGGGTTCAGTGACGCAGACTCAAAACTCTGTGACTGAGTCACTTGAAGTAATTACTGTTTCCCCACATAAGTCCACAGACCTCCTCTTCCCCTTCAGGGAACCATTTTTACTAGTTTTTGGTTTATCCTCTGATGGTTTTTTTCGAGATGTAAGTATGCACGTATGCACACGTGTCCACTTACCCTGTGTCACCCTCAAGGCAACAGTACAAAGCCCTTCTGCTTTCTGAGGGTTCACTCTGGAGAGGACGGTGTTTCAGTGCAGGAGACCTTCCCTCGGCCGTCCGCGCTTCCCGAGCTGCACAGCACTGCCCGTACACCGTTTACTCGGCGGGTCCCGGTCACCGATCACTCGGGCGGACCCCGGTCTATTCAGAATAAGGCCCACGGAGACCACATGCACTTAACACCTGCAAGCTCAAAACCTGGCGTCCTCACCTTCCAGCTACTGACCCTCTTGCTTCTTGAACTTCCATTTCCTCAGCTGTAAGACAAGGCGGTTTTAATGTGACTTACACATCTGAGTTAAATAAAATGTTAATTTAAAAAGTATTTCCATAAACGTTAGCAATAACTGAAAAACGGATTTAAAGCGAGTGAAAAACTGAATCACGTACTCACCATTATATGGGTCATTTGTATTTAATTAGGAAATTCCTATCTCGAGAGACAACAACAAACTAGAATGTATCCACAGAAAGACCAGGACGGTGAAATTTCTAGAAACTATCTCAGATGACACAGCTGAATTCAATTAAATATTTATTGAACAAATGAAGTGCGGGGGAGGGGTGTGTTAGCCTGCAGATACAATAAACGCCTCCAAATATTCAGAGGCCATCACACAAAAACTGAAAGAGTCAGTATTTCTCCAAAAGGCAAAACTCAAAGCAAAGGACAAGTATAAGCAACCGGCGGCTGCAGGGCCGTTAGCGGTACAAGGCAGATCACTTATCGTAGTAACTTCTTTGCTGATATAACGCATCCCACCCTCGGTCTCCCTTCTTGAGAAAGGAATATTCCAGCGCACAGTCCTCCTGACGGTCGCAGATAGTCCCTCCAGCGCCAGCATGGGTGTGCCCACACCCCCAGGAGGCTCACGCTCGGGTCTACGGAGGAAACGGCCGGTCTTCCTCAGCTTCGCTTCCGCATTCGGGGCGAGTGGCTCTCGGGAGGTGAGGAGAAGGGGGGCAGGTTCTCTGACGAGGGGGGATCGGAAGCCCCAGCAGCTCAGTCACTGCCCTGGGGGCGGCACGCCTCAAATCCCACGTGAGTCACCGTAACAGTCCTCGGTGCAGACGGGCTGGGCTGTGGGCAGTGCAGGGACAGTGACAGCCCCGTCCATGGGGAGCCGGGCAGCTGCGTTTCAGGAGTCACTAGGGAACATAAACTGCGTAATACTGACGGGCTCCATCCAAATTGTGAAATGTTACAAAATGAGAATCGTTTCAACCATTCAGCATAATGTTTAAGGACAAAATATATAATATATACTTTATACATGTATTTTATCACATACTCCGAAGGAATGCCGAGGCACTAATCCAGCCAATAAACTGAAAATAAAAATTTTAAATTTCTCTACGTGTCAGTATACAGGATTCGGAAGGTGGGTCTTGAACTCAGAATGACACCTCAGTTTTCGAGGAAAGCCACGTAGTCGGTCAGTCTGGCCAACTGCTGCTCGTTGGGGATGGGTGGGACGGGGGCAGGCTCTGCGCAGAGAGAGAGAGAGAGGCAGTCACACACCTGAGGAACAATGCCTCGACCCCACCGCCTGCAGCCTCCAACGCCTGTAATTTAACAATAAGGAAACTTTCTTACTGATTTCGGACGTTTCTGAAAAATAAGCCAGGAAGTCCCAACCCTAAGCAGTAGTTCTAAACCAGGACCTGGAGCAAAGGCATGAGTGACTTCGCGGACCTTCCCGCGTGGATGCGCAGGCCTCACGGAAAAGAGCACAGCTCTTCTTGGAAAGACACCCACCGGGCGGCACGGAATCGGGGGAGCAGTTGGCGAGGGCCCCCGTGTGCCAGGCACTGCTCCCGAACACCCGGCTGTCAGCCAACAGACAAGCCCGCAAGGAACCGCCACCAAGGAGTCAGTTCCAGCTTTAAGGTCAGCGCCTGCCAGGCCGGGGAGGGGCTTAGCCAGGCTTCCCGCACGACGCCAGGGAGGCGCTGTGGCTGCACCAGACGGTGCCACGGCCTCCACGCACGCCACAGGAGAACCCACCCGCCGTCTTGTAACCAAGTGTATTACTAGACATAGCAAGTGCAGAGTTTAGTTGCTTTGTGTACAAGGTTAGAACTAAAAAAAAAAAAAAAAAAAACCCAAAACCAGACACACACGACAGAAAAGAAACAAGGAGTGATGCGACACGTTTTAAATGAGCATACAAAATACATACCTGATAGGGGAATAAACCGGTTGAAGGAAACGTCCAGGGCCCCTGCAACTAGAGTTAACAACCGAATTCATACGAGGCGTCGTAAAGAACTTTCACGTGAAACACATCACTTTTAATGCATGCAATGGCACTATGGCCACTTAATACGCTCTATTTTATTACAGTAGTTTCTCCGGCAACTAGACTCGCTGGGACCATGTCTCACCACTTCCTGTACCTTCACGGGGGAAAGCCCACTGAAATTGGAGTAATTCTTTGCTGTCAGGTCCACAACATCTAAACAGCAGGACTTCAGAGCAGGGGGAGGGGCTCTGGGTGAGGGGGAAGGTGTGGGGATGTGGGCATGAAGCCCAGCTCGGGAGACCTGGCAGGGAAGGCCAGTCCTGCTAAGTGGGAGAGAGACCTCCAGGCAGGACTGAGCACGGCTCACTTCAGAAGACAACAGCCAGGCTGTGAATTCAGATGGGGACGGCGAGGCTGCTCAAATCGTGTAAGCCTTAGAACGCCAGAGAGCTCGCTGCTGTGAGCATTACAGCCACTCAGAGTCCTTTATCGGAGTAGAGTTTCTAGGTCCACAGTACAAGGACGAAAGGGGAATATCTGAGTAAAAAATTGTTTTAAAAGGCAACAATTTAGGTACTAAGGATAAACACAGACAGAAGTAGCCCCATAAAGGGGTGCCTGGGTGGCTCAGTCAATTAAGTGTTCAACTTCGGCTCAGGTCATAACCTTGCAGTCCATGAGTTCGAGCCCCATGCCAGGCTCTGTGCTGACAGCTCAGAGCCTGGAGCTGCTTTGGATTCTATGTCTCCCTCTCTGCCCCTCCCGCACTTGCGCCTTCTCGCTCAAAAATAAACAGAAATTTAAAAAAATTTAAAAGAAAAGAAAGAAATGGCCCCGTAAATAAAAGAATGGGAGATTAATACTAGTGCAAATTAAGTTGTATAAGGATTATAAAAAGTCCATATAAAATAGTCTTTTATACAAGAAATATGCTTTCAAAAATTCAGGGAAAACTAGGTGATCTTGCAGGGCCTTCTCCATAAGCGCCTGCCATTCCGTATCTGCACTGAACTCCGTCACTTTCACTTGCCAGTGCAGAACTCTCTACCACGTCACTCGAATCCAGTGCCTAGGGCACGAGCCGCACCCACGACGAGAAGCCCCGCCTACCTGGCTTTTTGGGCATAACCATTCTTGTGGCGGAGTCGGCTTGCCATCCTTGTTCTAATATACCTAAAAACATGCATTGGACACACAGGTAAACAACCAACCAGGAAACCCCTCAATTTTCACATTTAAGATCCACCATCTGACCATGACGTTACTCGTACAGAAGGTCTGACCAGTGCAGTTTGCCCCATAATGCGCATTTCTAGAGAAGTGCAGTACAGACGGCATTCTCAGGTGAGCTTGCTCATGCAGTATTTCTAAAACCTGTATCCAACCTCATGTTACTCTATCAGACTGACATGACCCCTACAGATGGCCCGTCTTCTGTAAAGCGAGCGTTACGGTGTGCGCCCAGTCAGCGTGACCAAGAGCAGACCAAGGAGGAGAGGCAGGTCCGCCCACAACCAGCGCGGCGGGGGCAATGACGACAAAACGACAGTCCACACACGCGGCGCTGGCTGGGGCGCTGCTCCGCGGGGGCCGTTCCAGGAGTCTTCGCATCACCCGACACAGTGGGACGCAGGACCACGCTTAACTGACGTGCAAAGTGAAGCCTGGATCCCAATGACGCCCCCCAGGCCCGACGGTTAGCAGGGGGCTGGGGGGAAGGCACCGTTAAGATCCGGACTCCGGGGTATGAATGTCCTTTATTATGTAATAAACTATAGATCAATTTCCAGAAGTCAAAACACATGTTTGTGAGTAACTAACAGCATGATCGACCCCAAGCGCTTTCATCAACCTGCCTTCTACACGTCTCAAGTTGTGGCAGGCTCTGGGAGTTCAGGGACAAGCTGTGGGCTCCACGGAGTTCCTGTCTGGGTCAGAGAATCAGAACTCTCAACCATGGGAAAGCAACGCTGTGGGGTGTGCACAACATTCTACAGCAACCTACCGAGGGGGGCAGGAGGGGTTTCTAAATGTGTGTCAGGAGGGCAATTAAAATTAGTTTAGGAAAAAAATACATGATACCAACATGTTGATTTTCAGGGGAAAAGCAATCATTTAAAGAGGTTAGAGTTAAACTCAGGATTACTGACACAATGCTACTCGCCTACTTAAGCAACTCTACTTCCTTGCATCTCGTGGAAGTTCCCTAGCGCTCGGAAGGCCTGATGTGATCTGCGCGGCTGTGGGGCTGTGCCAGGTCCCTTCCTCCACACCCTCCGACAGCAGCTTTAGTACCTGGGTCCCCCACCAGCTCCCCCACCCGCAACCCCCACTCAGTGCTCTTGGCTCCCAGCTTCCCCTCCTGGCGTCGGCCTGGGAGGACACACCCCACCACACCCCCGGTTCACAGGCCCACCGTTAACTCAGGTTTTGATCAAAATTCTTAGAACTAAAAGTAGAAAACAGTCAGGGATTGGGCCTTGGGAACCAGGATAAAATGTGGCCAAGGAACATCAAAAAAGCCCCCAATAAGCGCCAGAATGGTCACAGGTAAGGAGGGTGCCCCTCACAGACAGGCCAAGTGTTAACTCGGTAACAACGGCAAAGTTCTCCTTTGCGAAGCTCGTGTTCTCAGGTCTCACTAATTACCTTGGGCAAAGAGTGCATTAAAGGTAAATAGGAATACGAAACCTCTTATCCACACCCAGAGATCCAAGAAGCTCCACAGACTGAAAAGCTGCGTCTCTAACCCGTCAGGCGGTGACAGCGGTCGCAGTGGAGACCACTCAACTTCCCCGCGTCCTTGGACCCTCACGCTCCGCTGCCGCAGGCTCCTGGGGGCTGGACTCCATGCTTCCTGCCCGCACCCCTGCTGCGGCCGTGGGGCCGGGGAGCCTCCAGATCCCCTTTCCAGAGAGCAAACGCCGCCTCAATTTCAAAAGCACACCCGCCGCCGCAGTGATTTACACACTGTCTTTTGCCGAAAGAAACAAGCAAGGCCCGAGTACCTTTCACGGCCTCCTCCACCGGGAGCCCCACGAAGGCTGCAAAGTCGTCGGCAATGATGGAGGTGTAGGCTTGAGAGACCAGGGCGAAGGCCCTTCTCCGGGTGGCATCTGCAGGGAGCGGGGGCAGGGCGGCACACAGTGAACCAAGAGGGCTGGCGTTTTGTAGTAATTGAGTTACGTCACTGTCCTTGTCCCATCTTATACCCAAGACTAGACCAACTCACACATGTCTGTGCTCATAGACACCCGAGCCTGGCGTGTCAGACGGGCCCAGGTCCTACGGAATAAACAGATCACCTTCTCGTGCTGCCTCTTAGACAGCGAATCTCAGAGGACAATGAAAATTACAAAGGAAAAAGCTAATAAATATATGATCCAAACTCCAAGAAAACTTCACTTAAATACGTTTAAGTACTTGATACAGAATTTTTTTAACCTCTTTTTTAACCCCACTCAGAAACTTAGGAACTCAGACTGGAATGAATGGAGCAGAAATTCTCTACTTCAGTCAGCAGTGGTACCTTCTCAGGAGGGCGTCTGATACAGGACCACACGCAGGCGCTGCAGACAAACCTTGTCCCTACCGTGCTCCGGTTCCAAAGGAAACCGCAGGCCCCAAGTGCCAAGTCAACAATCCGGGACGTAAGAGCTGACACAGCTTCAACCTCCACCAGACATACAATCTTAACTCTTAAACTGGGTGTGGAAGAGTTCATCTGTCCCAGGGACCCTCTCCACCCCCCACAGAAGAGAAGACTCCCTGCTCTGCCCTTACGGGAAGGTGGCCTGATGGAAACAGTGCTCCCTCTTCTTTTGCTAACAGCTTCCCTGCCCCGCGGCCCCTCCTACCAGCCCTCGGGTCCCCTCCACTTGCTGGGTGGAGTGCCGCCTGATTCACAGGGTCCGTGTAGTAAGCCAATTAGGTCTTCAAATTCACTCAGCTGAATTTTTATTCTTTGACACTTCCTAACTTTAAGTCTGCTTTAAACTCTTAATTTGGGTTCAGATCCTAGGGTCCAGTCCTGAATGACTGAGCCTAACTGGGGGGGTGGGGGGGTTCTAAAAATTCCAGCAACAAAACCCCCCTAGAGAGCTGGGTGGGAACGCCCCAGGCTTCAAGGCCCACACCACCTGTCTCAGGGATGAGACGCCTGAGCGTGAAGGGTAGGTGTGCTCCCCGGGTGAGGCAAGAGCTCCCCCACCTGGCGGGCAGCGGGCTTACACACACTCTGGATGTTCCACTCCCCACGGGGCAGGCACTTACTCCCCACGGAGCGACAGGCTCCCCGTCCCTGGGACGCTGCCTGACAACTGCACCCCGCTCCTCAGACAGCCCTTGCTTCTACTTCGCCCTCCCCCCCCACCCCTGGCTCCCACACAAGCCTCACACCTTCTGTCGCGTCTTGGGCTCTGGGTTCATACTGTCGGGTGGTGTCCGCTCCCTACGCCCCACAGGTCTGTTTACAAACTCTTCCTGCAGCACTCAAGTTCACTGCCATCTCCGCTCTTCTCTAAATTCACAGCACTGTTCACACCACCCGTCCGCGCTCCCATCCCCTCGATTATGCCCTAACTTCGTTCCAGGAGGAGGGCTGTCTTTATGTGCGGATCTGCCCCCCAAAGCGTGTCCCGAACACACGCTCGCTGCTGCTGTCCCCCGGGCCTTGGCCTTTTGCTTTGTTCTCTCATATTTCTTAAAAATCACGGGCATTCCATTGCGTTCCTCCACCTCTCACTGAGCCTGACGCCCCCACAGGGGAAGGGGTCAGAGGTCTGGTGACCGGATTTCCTCCGCGCCCTCCCTGCCTTGCTCTGGCAGGGCCACTGTTCGCGGGGGCGGCCCCTTTCCCACAGCTCCAGGCGTGGGGGTCCCTCGCTCCTGCTCGTCAGGCCCCGTGTAAGAACGGCTACTGTCCACGCGAGCCCCTGCTGGCTGCTGTTAAAATCTAGGATAGTTTCTTCACGAGCCTGTCTTCAGCTAAATAAAGCATTTTCAGTTTTAATTTTTTTTTAATGTTTTATTTATTTCTGAGAGAGACAGCATGAGCAGGGGAGGATCAGAGAGAGTGGGAGATACAGAATCTGAAGCAGGCTCCAGACTCTGAGCTGTCAGCACAGAGCCCGACGCGGGGCTCGAACCCAGGAACCACGAGATCATGACCTGAGCCAAAGTCAGACGCCTAACCGACCGAGCCACCCAGGTACCCCTCATTTTCAATTTTCTAAGACTGTGACTAACTCAGAACAGAAAAAGAAGAGACTGGAAAATGTGACCGTTCTTAGAACAATCCAGAACACAGCAAGTCTGTAATACATTAAAATGCGAAGTATTAGATTTAGCAGTAATTCACATCTGTGAGGAGACTTCCTTCACCAGGCCGCATTTTGTGAAGGCAAACCCAGCGCATTTGTGGATGTGGGGTCTGTAGAATTCTTTGGGTGTGTCCACAAATAGTGTGGGTGAACACAAGGGTGCTTGTGCGTACTCATTAAGCATAACGCAGGTGCTTATACGGGTTGATTCACTTACAGCCCCCCAAGGCAAGTAGGGTTTATGATCCCACTTTACAAATGAGAAACATGAGGCACTGAGGGATCACTCAAGTGTCAGCACCGAGGCCTGAACTCCGAACTATGGCTCCAAGTCCGACCCCCCACGTCCTGCTACACAGCCTTCCAGGGGCCTGCTGGGCCGCGGGGCTGGGGCGGCACCAGGAAGAAGCAGGGCTCCCCCCACCGCAGGCCGACGGGGACCTGGGACCGTCTGCGGAGTGAGTCAGGAGAGCTGAGCCCTGGTCCCGCCAAGAACCCGCCACAGACGGTGGGAACACGGGGCGTGGCCTGGGCCCTCCCCTGAAGCCCTAGATCCTACCAGAGGCTATGAGAAAGTCCACCTGTGGACTTACACGAAGAGGCTGAGGCAGTTTCCTGGGGGAGCGTCCAAACCTGTCCCTGTGGTCCCTGAGCCACCTGGGGCCACACGCCTCCCTCCCACTGGCCGGCCGCCCTGCGCTCCCGCTCACGTCCTTCATATCTAAAGGGAGCACCTCCTGTGTTGTCTCTGACCTTGTGCTGTTTTATGCTGATACAGCTTCGCCACTACAAGAAATCAGGTACATCTCAGAAGCAACCACCCCCTGCTCCCCTGGGAAGGTGACACCCTTGCCGGAGGGACGAGCAGTTAGTTACCCAAGCATCCCTGCTCACTGACTGCGCCAGGGCTGGAAGGCAGGCGGTTGAGGCAGGTACTAACTATAGAACAAGGTAACAATGAGAAATAAGAACTGAACCACATCAAGAGAGACCGCTGTATGAATTTACAAAAGCGTGAACCAGGAAGACTGGGAGCAAACGTCAGGGGTGGGAGATCAGAGAGAGGAGAGGCAGGGCCCGGATTTCACTGTGGGATCAGCGCCATGTCACACCGGCTCATAATCCTTCAAAGCAACTACAGACCATCGGAGCATCTGAGTCACAAACCCAGAAGCTGAAGACAACCCCCATCAAAGGCTGAGGTCAACAGACTCCAAAGCATAGTGTCGCTGCTTTCAAATACAGGGGGTTTAACATCTTAACCACCCCACAGCTTGGGCTTCTGAGGGTATTCCAACATTTTAGTAGCAAAATTCCTTCTACTAACAAGAGCAATTTCAATCTAGAATTAAATTAAAGAGACAGTGAGTGAATCCCTTGGCTGCTGATATAATCTCCAGCAAGACCAAATGAAGACACACGGTTACCGCAAATTCCTACAGAAGAATTTTGAAAGCTGCCCCATTCACCTAGCAGAAAATATCTATTTTTTAAAAAAATAATATCCATTTTTTAAACAATGACTGACTTCAACATCACAGCACTTAGAAAACAGGCCTAATTTAATTTTTAACCACAAAGAAACACTACCTCTAAGTGCTTCCATGATCGGCTGGACCGTCTCGGACCACTGGTGTGCGCTGATGGTCGTATAGATCCCAGGGAAATCTCTCTGCCAGATTCTCTGTCCTACTGACCAAATCCCCCCAAGTTCAGAATTCGCCTGCAATAAATATTACTGCCTTTGAGAATATTCACTCTGCAGATTAACCAGCAACTGTATCTTAAAACATAATTTGACATTTCTTTTAAGAAGTATCCCAACCACTGTCAAAAAGGATTTTAAATGCTGTGGATGGTAATGTAAAATTTATGTGTGGTTTATATAAATTTTTATTATGATAGAAAATTAAAGCATGATATCATCTAAAAGTATTTCAGAATTAAGTCTGGGAATTTTCTCAAACACTGTTTTCAAAGACGTATTGGTTATTTCATAGATACACATACGTAAGACATATAATAAAAAATACTCGTGTGCGTACATGTAAAACATATATATATAGTTTTTGGATATAAGTAACAACAAAATTGCTAATAATAAAGACTGTCCATCTAAGAAGTCATACACTGTAGCCTCTCTCAGGGCCAAATTCCCATTAACATCACTAAAACTATCAGTTTCATTTATAGTTCTTTATTTTAAGTCAATGAAGCTGGACAAACATTCCAATCTTACTCAACAGAACGTCTGGAGAAGAAAAAGAGGGTAAAAATACTAAAATGAACTGCTGCTGAATATCAAAAATGAATGAAAGAATTCAGATGAATTCTTGGTCATATTCTGTGACTGTTTAAAAAACTCAATTCACATTTGTGCTGGAAACAGTGAATCCCATGAAATTAAAAATGTATTTCATTCCACTTTGGAAGAAACAAAATTTTAAGAGGCGACTTCATCTAATTTCCCATTGAAACTAAGATCTCTAAACTGATAATTAGCAAAAGACTTCAATGCTGTGAAAATCACTTTTGGAATATTCTTGTAAACAACACCAATTTCAAAGTAAATACCATTACAGGAAAACTGCATAAATCAGTTAAAAAAGTGAAACAAAATCCAAGCCAAACTTTTATCTAAAATGTCTCAGTTGTTGCCAGGCAAAGTGACACTTCTAAGAAGTGTCTCAATAAATGTGATCAGAAGCTGAGTACAGATTCCTATACCATCCAAGGGAAATTAAAATTTGATTAGAGGAATCTGTAGATCTGTTCCTAAACTTTAATACCAGTTTAGAAACTATTTCTGTGAACCACACAAGAAAGAAAACAGAAACTAAAAATTTTAAAAGGCTGCTATTTAAATGAATGTTACCGCATTCACACAGTACCGAATACTGAAGAATACTTACCGATTTAATAGCAGGCGGTATCCTCTTCCAAAGATATCTTGCATTATTCCTAATTTGCAGTCCCCCCAAGAAAGAATAAACAATTAACACAAATTATCTCAATAAATGTTCAATATTCTAGATCTCACTGCAAACACACAGAAATATTTTCTAAAATACTCTGTCTCAGATAGAGAGAAACTTAATTTTACATAAATTTGTCCAGGGCAAGTAAAAGCAGCTTTCCAGATATAATGACATAAAACGTTTTTACCAAAGTAACATTTTGCCATTTTTACTGAATTTTTTTATGAACGATCTTGGTCTTAAATTAAGGAAATATACACTAAACATATGAGCGCTTGAGTAGATAACATATACATATACGAAAATAAACAAATCTCTGTACTTTCAAGGCTCTGGAATTTCCTGACTTCATACATGGTACACGGTGCTCACCGTGAGCCCTCCTGACCAGTGGGTGCAGAGCCACCCAAACTTCAAGGTAGCTTTTAAGAGTGTGGGAGCCTGGACCACGACCAACATACGATGACAGGATTACAAAAATGAAACTGATAGTTCATACAATATATGTGTACTAGAAATCTCAGGTGAGTTTTCTAAAAGAAATGAACAAGCTTTAATAGACTTTAAAACAACATTCAGTAGAAATCATCGATGACTCGTAGAACTAGAAGGGCTCCTGTACCCTCACGGTTTCTGACTTTTCTTCAATGAACGTGAATTAGGAATAACTAAAAAAGGACACCTCTTGGCTTTCTCAACCTTCCCTTTCAATTTCTCTTGGCCTGCTGAGGACACGTGAAATGAAGTAAACAGAGATCTTAAGAAAGTTTTATTAAAGAAAAAAAAGTCAACAATTAAAGAAATTTACAGACACTGTGGTTTTCTCATAATGAATTAGGATTTTTTTAGAGATTATATGTATTTGTAAAACAAGTATATTTTAAAACAACTTGGCCTAGTCGTAGTTTGAATCATGATTCCTTATATGAAATAAGCGTGTTAAGTACTACAATAAAAGATACAGCTCCTTGTGTCCTGTTTCAATGCTGCTTCTTCAGTGCAAGAATAATTTCTGTAAATCCTGGGGACGCAGCTGCTCTCCGCTTCAGGTAGAAGGTACTTACATGTCATTATGGAGCAGATACAAAGCCAACAGTTGACCGTACACTGGAGGCGTAGCAATTCCTCCAGGAGCCTATAAGGCCAAAAAATGGAAAACCTTATTTATACTTACACTTTAAAAAAAACCCTATTTTATTAATGGTAATCTAAAAAATAAGCCATTTTATAATACTTAGTACTATAGACATAGAGCTTGAGAGAAGGTACCGAACACTAAGAACCACGGTGTTAAGTTTAGATCTGCCGTCAGCTGTGATTTATCTCCTTCTGAGCCTCTGTGTCTTTACATGCACGAGGATATCGAAAGGGGATCCGTTTCCCAGTTCTCCGATTCCTAAATGGTGTGACTCGTAAAAGAAACAAACGTTTCCAACGGGTTCCTGAAGCACTAGGATTCGACCCATTGTATCAAACACGCCGTATGGCCAAGTAATGAGTGATAAACAACAACAAAATCACAGCTGAGTGTCACAAAGACATTTCTCTCTCCCTCCAAATTTAATGCACTCAGCAAACATCTATTCAGTGTCTGTTAGTGAGTCGCTGCTTCGGGCTGTTGTCTCCTTTGGTTAATTAACTTTTAATTCTACAGTTATACATGCTTTTCCAGTCCCTAAGGAAAAAAAAAAAACAAAACCCTCAATTAACTTCAGCAGCTGCAGGACAGAACTTCCAAGAGTCTAACTGGAGACAGAACGGTACACCCCGGTGACAACACTAGGAGACGAAGGACTCTGAGTTAATAAGACGTTACTTCTTCTTGGGTCTGTGTGTAGCGCGGACGAGGGTCTCTAACAGAACCCACACGCCCTCGCCTCCCGCCACACGGGGAGGAGAGCTGCCTCGTCTACCGAACGCCAGAAACAGTGCGGAGCGCCAGGAGCGAAGGGGCACAGGGTTTACGGGCTCACTAGTGCCGACGGACAACACGCCCCGGCGCCCCGAGCTCCCCACGCGCGGCTCCCACGCCCGCCGCCAGCCCCGCGGGCCCCGCTACCCCGGAGACCGGCGCCGCCCCGGGGCCGCCGAAGACCCCGCGGTTCCTCCCAGCGCGACGCCAACGGCTACCTCGAGCTCCTGGTTCTCGCACTGATCCAGCAACTTTTTGAAACTAAAAGCACTTTCCGCCATCACCGCCACTGGCATCTTCCCGGCCGGCCCCGCCGCGGCACCTTCCCGAAAGCCGACCCCAGACCGTCCCTCGGGCCGTCGCGCCCGCGATGACGTAGAAAGCCGCCGTCGCCGCCGTCGCCGCCGAGCGCCCAGGCGCAGGTGCGCCGTCGGTTCCGGCGCGTCGCCGGAAGCCGCTGCTGCGGCCGGGCAGGCTCGCCGCCGCTCTGGCCGGCGCTCTCGGTGCTCTGGAGGACCGGCCGGGCCTCGCGGGAAGCCGCTCCCTGAGCGCGCGGCCAGAGCGGGAAGGGAGGGGTGTGCGCAGGCTCTCGGCGTCTCCGCGGCGCGGCCTGACGCGCATGCGTCCTTCGAGGCGCCGTCAGCGCCCGGAGGTTCCCAGCGGGAGCGCTGGTCCCGCGGCCCCTCCGGGTCCCGGGGGTGCCCGGCTGCCGGGCTCTCGCCCCTCCTGCACCCCCAGACCCGTGTGCGCCGAGAGCGGTCAGGTGTCGGCTTCTGCCCAGGAGCCACGTGGCTGGACCGCTCACGGGCTTGGGGCTGCGGCCCCGGGTCGTCCGGGCGCCCTCGGGTGCCCTCCAGCGCCCCGCGCCAGCGGACGCCCCCCGCGCATTCCTCCTTGACCTTCACGTCCCGCGGCCCTTCCCGAGACCCCCACGGAGGAGGCTTGCCCGGTGCCCTGCTCTAGGCTCGGCTGCACCGTTTGTGGGCCCGGAGCAAAGTGAAAGTGCAGGACCCTTGTTCGAAAAATGGGGTGGGGGGGGCGGGGGGGGAAGTGCCATTTAGGGTTATAATGGAAAGCTTTTTCCTTTGCGGTGTATCTCAACTTTTTCATGGTGCTTTTTGTTATTGAATATAATTCTAAGTAAATAAAAATTAAAAGTTTAAATTATTAGCATGAATCTTAGATTCCCATCTCATTGCGCACCGCCACTTTTAAATTCAAATATACGTGCATTTAACTCCCATGTGGAATCCCAGAAATCACACAATTCGTATTTCATAGCTCATACATGGAACGCACATTTTGTTCTCATTAAAAGCTATGGAAATGCTGCACAAAATTAACTAATTTTACTGCTCTTCATTTAATGTGCATACTCTGCCAGCACTGTCTACCTATGGGTACTGAGGGGTAAGGAACGGCTGAGAGAAATAGGGTCATTCCCTTGGCTGCCACGTTACCGTCTTCAGCACATTTGCCTGATTACAGGCGAGTCACACAAGTAAGAGAGAACACAAGCGAGCTCCTTGGATGTTCATGTCCCGTAGGACACCATTGCCTTCATTATACATTTGCAGAAAGTTCAGGTTCGGAGGGAAAATGTGGCCTCTCCGCACCCAGCTCACTCGCGTGTAGACACAGTGCACTTAGCTTGCGAATACACGGAGTCTCACCAGACTCTTGCCATGGGGGGTGGTGTGGGAATTCATGTGGTATTTGGAACACTACCTGGAAGGGCAGGAAACACACCATATTGCACGTACCTCTTTGCTCACGTGCAGATGCTCCGTCCTCCCAATGGGCTTCACTCGCCAAAAAAAGGTAAAATTATTAAGAATTTCAAAACAGTGACAGCCTCACTGCTTATTTTTGTAGAATCGACACTGTCTCCATGTGGAAATAATGGTGTGTGGGAATGCTTTGAATGGAATATAAAGAAAAAAATCACAAAACTCAAAGAATTGGCAACATTAATTAGGAAGCCAGACAAAGAGCTGGCATAACTAGAGGTATTTTGGAGAAATAAAGCCACCAAGTTTCATCAACCACACGAATAAGAGGAGGACCGGGGGAAAAATGATTCAAAGACCATTTGACATAAATTTGATGAGCAGGATTTAAAATTTTTAATACGAAATAACGACTGCTAATATATCTGGGGCAGAGAAAGATGCAGTGGGATCAACTGCCAGTGATTTGATCATTTAAAGGGAAAACTATGATTGAGAGCCTTGGCAGGTACTCGGGACTGCTAAAAAGTGAAGTTGTAATTAATGGTTCTTTGATGAACAGAAAATCCCAGCGGGGCTTCGGAAATAGAAGCAAAGGTTACAGGTAGAATTTGGGGTGCCATTTAGACTGGAGGTGGGCTAGGCTGAGCAGCCAGGGCCAAAGGTGAGCCGTTGGCCTGGGGACAGGGGATTCCCGGTGGAGGGAAGCGTTGGTGGGTTTCCAGGGCTGTGATGCTGGTGTCCAGGTTTAAGCTGTTACTGTGTGCCCTGGAGATGCTGGCTCTGGGGTGGCATGGGCTACACTCCCCACCCCTAATGTGCGGGGTGGGGGCCCCCGTGTCAGGGGAAGCATGGGCTCCCACGCTGAGACCCCCATCTCGTGCCATATACAGTAATTCACTCAGACTAGATCAAAGACTCCAATGTAAGAAATAAAATGGTTAGAAGAAAACACAGAGTAAGTCTTCCCGACCTGGGATTAGGGACTGACTTCTTAAATACCACACCAAAAGCACCAGCAGTAAAAGAGAAGAAAATCGATAATTTGGACATTATCAAATTAAACAAGTTTGTGTTTCAAAGGACGTGATCAAGAAAGCGAAAAAGCAACCACAGAATGGGAGACCATTTTGCAAATCACATGCTTGATAAAAGAGTTGGACTTTTAATAAATAACTCCTACAACTCAGAAATAGAAAGGCAAATAACCCAACTTAAAAGGGGACAGGAGGTCCACACAGTCATTTCTCCCAAGAAGACACACAAGTGGCCGAAAAGCGTATGAAAAGATGCGCAAGGACATCACTCATTAGCGCAGATCACACCCCAAATCCATGCACTAGGCTGGTTAGAATAATAAAAGACAAGATCAGGGGCGCCTGGGTGGCTTAGTCGGTTAAGCGTCCGACTTTCGCTCAGGTCATGATCTCGCGGTTCGTGGGTTCGAGCCCCGCGTCGGGCTCTGTGCTGACTGCCGGCTCAGAGCCTGGAGCCTGTTTCAGAGTCTGTGACTCCCTCTCTCTCTGACCCTCCCCTGCTCACACTGTCTCTCTCTCTCTCTCTCTCTCTCCTAGAAATAAATAAAACATTTAAAAAAAAAAAAATAAAATACAAGATCATAAATGTCGGTGAGGGTGTGCAGAAGTTACACCTTTCTGCCCCGTGGATGAGAACGTACTGTGCGGTGGCCGCTCTGAAACACAGGCTGGTGATTCCTCCAAGGTGTACACAGAGAGTCACCATGTGACCCAGCGATTCTAGGTATATGCCCAAGGGAAATGAAAACGCTTCCATACAAAGCCTGAGGCACGATGCTCATAGCAGCATTAGTCATAATAGCCAAGAAGTAGAAGCAATCCAAACATCTATCAGTTGACGAATAGATGATAAAATGTGGTGTATCCAATAGGGTGGAACAGTATTTGGCAATAAAAACAAATGGCATTTTGACACCTGCCACAGCATGGATGAAGCTTGAAAACATCATGGTAAGTGAAATAAAGCCGGTAGTGGTGACCAAATATCACGTGATCTCATTTACATGAAAGACCCAGAATAGGCAATTCCGTAGAGGCAGACAGATCCTGGCAGGAGGTAGCAGAACATGGGAAGGAAGCTTGGGCCACGGGGGACCAGGGCTGTGGATGGAGGTGTAGACAGCTCAGGCCCAGAGTTGCAGGGAGACAGCCGCAGGAATGGACCACCCCTCCCTGAGCCCACCATCCTCTGTGGCTCGGGCCTGGGGTTCACCTTGGGGTGGAAACTAACCTCAGACCATGAGAAGCTGCCTCTGTTGGCCGGCTAAGAGGAAAAGACAGGGAGAGAAAGGATGCATTTTTAAGTCCTGAGACATCAGACTCTGGGCAGGTAGGGGAGTGTAGAATTCTGGCAGATGGCCTCTGGAAGAACGGGGATTTGGGGGTGCTGATGTGGCCAAGAACAGGAAGGGAGATTCTTGTGTTCTGTCGTTGCATCATCCACTTAGAGGGATGCTGGCATCGTGGCTCGGTAAAATCTCAAATGGAGTTCTCGGCAAAGTCATCCCCTATGGGCAGCACTGCCGGTGGGTGCCACCATTTTGGAAAGCGAGGTAGTGACATGGCAGTGGGAGCTGCGACCACAATCTTAGACTTCAACATAGAGTTCTGTCCCCAAAAATTATCCAGAGGAAGTCATTGCAAAAGAGGAAATATACTGGAGCTAAAAATGGCACAATAACATAAAATACAAATACAACAGCTAATGCCCTGAAAATGACCTACATGTCTAGGGGCGCCCGGGTGGTTCAGTTGGTTGAGAGTCCAACTTTGGTTCAGGTCATGGTCTCACAGTTTGTGAGTTCAAGCCCCACGCTGGGCTCTGTGCTGACAGCTTAGAGCCTGGAGCTGCTTGGGATTCTGTGTCTCCCTCTCTCTCTGCCCCTCCCCAGCTCATGCTATTTCTGTCTCTCAAAAATAAATGAACTTCAAAAAAATTAAAAAAAAAAAAAAACGACCTACATATCTAATAGGTGAAAGTTAAACATGTAGTGGTTAGTCAGGGAGAGGTTTTGAAGTTATTAAATTCATAAAGTCTATGTAAAAGTAGCCTTTCTGAAATAACGTCAAGGAAAAACACAGGAAATTATAAGACTAAGTGAATGGCAACATATTGGAAGGAACATAGGCTTGAAAGTTCTGGTAAGATTAAGGGGTTAGATTACAGGTGAACACTGATTTCTTGTAAGATTTCTTTTAATATTGTAAAATTATTTTTTTAAATGTTTATTTATTTTTGAGAGAGCATGAGAGACAGAGTGTGAGCAGGGAAGGAACAGAGAGAGAGGGAGACACAGAATCTGAAGCAGCTCCAGGCTCTGAGCTGTCAGCACAGAGCCTGATGCGGGACTTGAACTCACGAACCACGAGTTCATGACCTGAGCCAAAGCTGGAGTCTTAACCAACTGAGCCACCAGGCGCCCTAGTTGTAAAATTATTTTAATGATGACCTTTTTTTTTGTTTTTGCCCCAAATCATAAACACCTTTAACAGCCCAAAATAAAAAAATAGGACACATCTTTCTCCCCCCCCCCCCCTTTGCCCGATGCCTGAGGTCACGGGCGAGTACTCAAAGAGAACATTTTTGCAAAACCGCAGGAAGGCCCAGGAGCTA